TTCCTAGGCTGCGGTCCTCATCCAGACAGGCCTGGGTGGGGCCTCAGAGCAAGCTGGGGGGCAGCAGGACCAGGGTGTGGGCTCTCCCCCAGGGGAATCACACTTGCTGGGTGTGGAGCAGTCAGGGCTGTGTCTGGGGGAGCATCAGGCCAGCAGGGCAGTTACCAGGGCCAGATGAGGCGCTGGTGCATAAGAGGCCCCGACTTGCTAAGATGCTCTTTCCTCCCGGACTGCTAGAGGCCGAGCTGGAGACCAGACGTGGAGACGACAGCCCGCAGACTCTCTAAGAGAGGCCTCGTGGGATAAATCCAAAGCCATCCTGTATCAGGATGCAGGAGGGTCGGGCAGGGACATCAGGGGCCCAGGACATCGGACGTTGTTGTGGGAAGAAGCACTCGGCATTTACGTGTTATATTCTTTTCTGCGTCCTCGACCGGCTTTGCTCCTGCCTGTGAGGAGTGTATAGGGGGGCCCATACCTGGTTTTCAAAGACCCCCCAGTCAGAGGGCACCGGTGAGCTGTGCTGCTCTCTCTCCACCTGGAAGCAGAGGTAGGAGCTCTTCCGCCCATAGGCATAGAGCAGGTTTTGGAATTCGAAGAAGAAGGTTTCAGGATCTAATCCTTCCATTGGGTAACTGGGGACAGAGAGAAAACAGAAAATGCAGTGTTCCCTGGAGTTTCTCCCATTTGGTGTCATCTGAACACAGAGCTCTGCACCCCTGGGCGATGTGTCTCCCCCAACCCTCCTTGGCCCTGAGCATCTTCCTACTCCTCCCAGGCAGGAAGACTGGGGAGCGGCAGGGGACGGGGGCTGCAGGGACACCAGGGACCAGAGTCCTCTCCCGTGGGGGCCCAGGCTCCGCGCCTTCCAGCAGCACACGCCCAAGCCCCCCAGATTCCTGCCCACACCCCGCAACGCATTAGAAAGACAGAACCGAGTAATAAAACCCCCTCCGCTCTAAACTAGTAACTTTTAATATTTCCGTTCATTTGACGCCAGACTTTTCACGTAGGCATGTGATGTTTTAAATATCAAGTTAACACCTAAATCCACAGGCTCTTGCGAGCCCGCTAAGAGTGAGCAGCCGTACCTGATCTCCGGCATCTGTCCGCAGCATCCTTCACAGGCTTGTCCCAGACCTGCCATTTCTTGTAGTTCTGGGGTTTCGTTTCCTTCACAGAGCTTGGTTTTAGGAAAGTCCCTCGTCTGAGTGACTGCCCAACCTTCTCGGCTGAGGCGCCACCCCCTTCCTGCTTTGGCAGCAGGGGTTGGAGGTCTCTGGGGTGTGGGCCTCCTCTGTCTCACACCCACCTTCTCTCCATCTCTGGGGCCCTCCCTCTGGGCAGAGCTCCCCCTCGGTGGCGACAGGCCCCTCTGGGCAGCAGGACCCACCCTTACTGCAAAGCGAAAGATAAAGTAAGGAGGGCAGGGAGAGGGGATGCGACAGGCCCTGAGGGTGACCGCAGGACAGAGGCCCCACCTCCCTGGGGAGGGGCCGGAGCCCTCTCCACACCACCCTGCTTTGCAGTTAGGTGTCATTCAGTGTCCCGACAAGACTCGGGGAATGATGCAAAGTCAGGGCCAACGTCAGTGCAGTGGCTTTTCACTTCCCGTCTCGGAGAGGGCAGGTGTGCTGAGCAGATCCCACACTGCGTCCTCTACCCAGACCCCAACAGCATCGAGAGAGGCAGATGATAATCCTGACATGTCAGTGAGGGCTCACCACAGAGAGGCTAAGACACTTTCTCCAGATCACACGGCGCATGGACGGCAGAGCTGGAATGCTGTCCGGGCTGTGTGGCCTTGGGGCATGGATGGCAGAAGGGGAGGGGACTTTGGTTCTCCACTGGGCAACCTAGGTCGGGGATCGAGGACCTGGACTTCAAGTGTGCGTCCTGAAAGCTATCGCTTGCCTTGTCACACATCCACTAAGACCTCCAGGTGAGAAAACAAAGAATCCTGGGGAGCAGACCTTAGGGTAGCCACCTGTCACCTCCAGTCTAGATTGCACACAAATATGAGCCGCAGAGGAAACTTTCGGCTTGTGTGCCCACTGCTGCCCCACCCTACAAACTTTCAGCTCGTGTGCCCTAGAGGCCCTGGGATGGCCCCAGGGGTAAGAAGAGCATGGGCAGGAGGTTAGAGGATCCTCAGGAACAGCGTCCCCTCCATCCCCATCTGTCCTAATGTCTAGGAATCACAGACAATGAAGATTCCAGAATGAGCTAGGCCCTTCGGGGAAGAGTGATCAGGTCTGCACAATGAGTTATTCAAACTCAGAGCTAAGACACGCCCCGTCCACC